CCATTGCAAAGGTAGGTAGGCCTCGCTTCTGAAACCTCATAGCTCTCTAAGCAAGCCCGTCCTGGCACTTGTTGCACCAACGTTAAACCAGTTCAGCTTCTTTTTTTAAAATCGGAGTTCTTGCAGAGCATCTACTGGGTTTCAAAGCCTCGTAGTGTTTCCTACTCAAGGATTTTCCATTTAGGCTTCTGCTTGATCTGGTCCAACGAATGACCGAGATACAATGGAAATGTTGAGAGAGCTATATGGCAACCTGTGAATGTCTCACCGTGTGATAATAGTTGCTTGACACCTGGGCTGAAACAGTTTGTGATAGCAGCAGCTCCCGCTCGGTAGTCTGGCCAGTTTGCATCCTAACGTATGCCTAAACAAGCAGCATTTTGTTCTAGAGTGGTATTGCGGTGCTTGTTCACTTTTCCTGAATTGTCCCTGGTAGATCGTAGCTTTAACCCGAGTTGCCAACAGCTAAATTGTCGCAGCTAACGTCATTTGCCAGTGTTTTTCAATAATGTCAGTTTAGCTTCAGTGAAAGTACAGTGTTGGGTGTGCTTGTAAATTATTAACATTTAAGCAAATTGCAACCTGTGGTCACTCGTGTGTGTGTGTGTGTGTGTGTGTGGTAGCTTGTGTAGGTGAACAGAATTTTGAGCTGCAGATTTCACAGATGGTTTATTCCCACCCAGATACTCATTCTGCATTTTGGCTTTATATTAATTAAGGCTAAGGGGTTTTTTGGGGTTTTTTTAAAAAGTCATTAATAATTCTGTTCTTACGGACCAAACTGTCTACCACATGTAACTTTAATCCTGCAGTCTCTCATGCAAGTGAGGAGTTTAGCGTTAAGCTTCCCGCTCTCATAATAGTATTAGATGCTATCTTTCTCGGTGCTGTTTGCAAGCTGTTGGTGCGGTGTTGTACGAATGCTGTTGCATTAGCTAACGTTGCTTTAACAATCAGTCTTTCATCTTTGTATCTAGTGGCTTTACTTCCTTATATCTATATCTTTTTATTGTAATCTGTTCTGAAATACAGGTAGAATGTCTGCGTAACTTTTCCACTTTCGTATTCAAAGTGATAGAGGCCATGCAAAATGTTAAGATAAGTTTTTTAAAAGACATTTGTTATTCCCCTATCTTCTCATGCCTGTTACGTGGGCAGAGCAGTAACAGGGTAGTCCTAAGGGGAAGTTATGCCCTTTTTAAACCCATGGACCTCCGTTTAGGATTGCAGTGCTATTTGCCTGAGAATGATTGTTATTCATCCTAGTCATGTGGCTGACTAGAGAAATGGGTTTAGGTAAATGGAGGGAGGGCTCCCCTGGTCTAGAATGTATACAGTTTTACATTGTGCTCCTAAACTTTTTGTGCTAGAGTAACAGCATGTAGCAAACTGCTGGTGTTGCAATTACTGTTCCCCGCCCATAGCATTTATTTACTTGTATAGCATAGAACTGGGCCAGAAATCTGTCAGCACTTAGAAAGCCGACTGTCTCTCAACACCTGGATGCAATTAACATATTTTCAGTCTAACTGTGTGCTCAACAAATTGCGGAACGATAATACACTATAACAAAAAAAAACATTTCAGTCGTAAAAATTAGCCTTAAAATCCTCAGATCACAGTGAATTTGGTCCAGACACAATGTTGCTATCCTCTTCCTCCTCCTCCTTCCTGTTGCTTGTTGCCAGGCCTTGCCTCTCTCCCTGGCTGGCCTTAACCGTGGTTTACAGTCACCTAACTGTGGTTAATTCTAATTAGGTTTCTCGCTTAGTCAGGGTGTCTGGTCTCACATCAAAGTCCTATGTTTAAATCCTAGTTAAGACTGGTAGCCTGGTGACCAATGCCCCCTCTAAGCTGTGGAGTCCTGTGAGCAAAAATTCTACTTTGTGAGCTATTGGCATTAAAGTTGTGAGCAAGCCATTTGGCTGCTGCATAAATTAGTTTGCTCTGGAACCATCCTTCCTGAGCTAAGACAAAAAGGTGTGAGCCGGAGGCTAAAAAACTGCGAGCTAGCTCACACTGACTCAGCTTAGAGGAAACACTGCTGGTGACCATGAACTAGAAGAGGGTGGTGAGGTTCGAGTGCATCAGCACCTTAGAGATGAACAAGAGGGCAGAAATGCATGAACTCATCAGTCCCAGAGTCCATAGTTCCAAAAATGCCAGTGTTGCGGCTTTAATGTGGGATAATCCCATACGCTGACAGTGAAATGGTGCAATCCTAAAGACAGTTGCACCCTTCTAAATTCATTGAAGTCAGTGAGCTTGAGAAGGGTATAACTAGCTTTAGGACTGCACCGTTTCAAAATATACTGCAAAGTCTGTCTGTTGTTTTTTTAAGTTCTGAAGTGTATATTTGTTTCTTGATAATAGGGCTAGAAATGGAACTACTTGTAATGTAACTGTCCATACATTTCTCTGTTTTGTCAAGTGTCCAGCTGTTCCTTGTGTTCCTTGTTTGTGTTACATTTCATGCATGGCGATAAAGTACTTCAGTAGCTATTAGTGCTTTCACAGTATCTCCAATATCGTGTATCTAGTGCAAAGTATGTCTTTGCACTGTAATTCGGCTTTTATGCATTCCCTTTTAACACAATTTTTTTTGTTCTTCCTTTTTGCAAAATTAGAATTCCAAGATAGCTAGTTAAACTTTTGAAACATTTCCTGGCTAGCTAAACTGCATTTTAAAAAAAGAAAGAAAAAAGAGAAATCTTATAATTGCAGCATCTTATAATCCATTACACGGAGGTAACTGATAAGTACGCATCATGTTGTTTTTGTTTAGTGGATTCTGATTACAGGTGTACCCCTACTTGACAACCTTCGTTTCTTCCATTAAAATAAAGCCTTGTCTTTTTTTAAAAAATAAAAAATTGGCTTTTATTTAATGGTGTTAGAAAATCTTTAGTGATGCTTTTAGTAGATCTACATTTTGTCACTGTTTTACACCATGTTGTTCCTTCTGCCCTTCTGTTCCCTCCGTGCCCATGATTGTCCCATCTAGTAACTCTGCTGATGTCACTGGCTCCAAAACTACCTGGTTTGGATGAGAACAAGGCTGGATCCCTTGATCGGCCGATGGAGCAACAGGAGGCAACAAGCTCTGAGTCTCGAAAAGCTACACCCGCTGTTCGCAAGAAACCTCCTCTGGCTTTGCCAGTTCCTAAAAGTCCCAGTCAGACTATCTTGTCATTTCCTCGGTCACCCAGTTTTTTAAGCCCTATGAAGTCCCCGAGTCAGTATTTCCAGATCTGTTATTAAATCCAGGTTTCTCCATCCAAATAATCTTGCTTTTATAGCACCACCAACTAGATTTGTTCTGGTGTTAAGCATGTTTACTTGCTGTTGTCAGAGGATCTGTATTTTTGTATGTCTTTTTTTTTGTTATCTGTGTTGCTGTTGTTGCTGTTTAAACATCTGGCTATTTTTATTTTTGCCTGTATGTCACAAAAGTTCTTTTAGCTCATCATGCTTCAGTGTATCTCTTAACAATATATGCCAAGTGTGGCGCTCACCTGTGCACCGACGTGCAGTAAATGTTGACGATTGCAGATGCTGATACTCAGATATGTAAAGACCAAATCAAACAAAATAAAAGATTTTGAAGCAGCATCACTGTGTTAATTGTAATCTTTACTTGGGGAGGGTTTCTCCCTCAGCTGGGCACGAGAATAAGATCAGTTCTTTTCTCCAGGTGGTTGTGCTTTCTCTGTCCCCCCCCCCCCAGTGTGTAGCACTCATTGTGTGTAGTCTGATTGCACAGTTGTTGGGACTTCTGTTTCCAAAGAGATTCACAGCAGAAGGGGGACACCATGTGTATAAATGATAATACAAAAGTTTTTTAAAAATTCATTTCCCCCGATATAACTTAATGGTTTTAATCAAATGAAAAGTATTATTGGGTTGGGATGGAAGAATGCTGAATATATGAGTTACTGTGTGTAATTCTTTCTGTTTCTGGCCTTTTTATAGAGGAAGGATATGTTAAAATGTTTCTGCGTGGACGTCCTGTTACCATGTACATGCCCAAAGATCAAGTGGAATCTTATAATTTGGAAGCAAAAGCGGAACTACCGGCCAAGAGGCTTAAACTGGAATGGGTGTATCCTTTTCTCTTTTTTAAAAAATGATCATATGTTAAACTGGAAGTGGTTTACTCTTTGCAGCTGTTTAGATAATGGAGTATGGAACGTTCTGAAACGAAATCAGACATCTGTTATTTTGGGAAATGTGTACAATTTCACCAATAAAACTATCAAATCAGTATGTAAAAAAAGTAAATGTTTATCATTACCCAAAGGCCATCACTTTCTTAGTAATGATTCAGAATTACAAAAATCGAACAGGAGCCAGGCACACAATCAGTATATTAAAAAATTGAGCCAACTACATATTACAGACCAATTATGTATGTTTAAAAATGTAGTAGATAAATAAATCCTAAAAAGGCATAGTAATTCAGTCAGCAAACCTCACTATACACTTTAAAATATATCTTAAACATCAGTAAAATTACAGCTTCCTATAATTTACATAGGAGCTGCGGTGGCTCAAGTGGTTAAGACGCTGAACTGCAGGCTGTGGAAGGTCAGTAGTTCAGCAGTTCGAGACCCGGGTGCCGCAAGACGGAGTGAGCTCCCATCTCTAGTTCCAGCTCCTGCCAACCTAGCAGTTCGAAAGCAAGAAATTGCAAGTAGATAAATAGGTACCACTTCGGTGGGAAGGTAACAGCGTTCCGTGCGCCTCGGTGTTTAGTCATGCCGGCCACATGACCACGGAAACGTCTTCGGACAGCGCTGGCTCTTCGGCTTTGAAACGGAGATGAGCACCGCAACCCTAGAGCCGGATTCGACTGGCTTTTGAGCAAGGGAACCTTTACCTTTTATAGTTTACATAATATAAAATACATAGAATTCAAATTACCATATATTATTGGATACTACTTATCTACTTGATTTCTGTCAAATCGGTATTAATGGTAATGAAACTTCTGCTCTCCGTCTTTTGGTTAAGCAGCTGCAGGAAAGTTTCAGTTGAATTTAGCCTGAAGGTTATGTTTTAATAATCACAGGATTAAATTAGGCACATAGTGGAAAAGTAGGACACTACAGTTGCTAAGTATAATAACATACCAAGAACAGGTTTGTTCTCTTTACTAACAGATTAATGTATTTATAGTATTTGCACAGTTTCTAAGATGCATACAATTCTTATTAGGAAAAATTCACAGCCAGTTGGATCGTTTTTTGTAAAAATGCCACTATCACTTTGGGTTAGGTCCTAGTTGGAAAGACGGGTTACGATAGAATTTGTTTGCTCATAGAGCTAGGTTGTGGATTGTGTTCTTCAGCCGCTGGCGGTCAACCTGTTTAGCACAGATCAAGCCCACAGTACAAACTGTTGCCACACAGAATGTATGTAGGCTGTTGTGCCAACATTGTTCTTGTTCTGCTTTTCCTCTAGTCAGCTAAAGCTAAGGATCCAGGTAGCCAGGTAAGGTGGGAGCAGAAGGTCAGAGGAGAAGTCCTGCCCTGTACCAGAACCATGCCTACAGGACTCTCTGCTTATGTTCAGGAGTGCCGCAGATCCCCATTACTTCTGGGCCCCAGACTTGTCATCCATGAAGTATGAAAGAAGGCCTGGCTTTACAAAAAAGTTTCAAGAGGGCACATTACTGGCCATAGTCCAAATTCTGCTCACCACTGAAGTTGTCAGGCAAGTTGACACTGAAGAAAATGGGACTCCCTCTCCTTAGAATAAGCTCGACGTGCATGCCAGAGTTCCTGCTTGAGGTCTGGATTCGGCCCACCTACATAGTATGGATATTGCATGGTTATTGTGTTAGAGTAGTCATTTACAACGTTGATTTATCCACACAGTTGCTATAGTGTAACGATAACACAATGTCCAACTCTGTGTACGTGCAGCCTTAGATAAGCAGCTCTGCTGTACCTGCTTCTGCATTGATCTCTGGTCCTAATTTTGTCCTCGTAATTTATACTGTCATTCCTCTAAACAGCAACTTGTTACCATTTCTATCTTATTTATGGCACCTAGCACACTCTTGGTGTTAAGTGTGCAGAAACGTCTTGGGCAGAAATGGCTTGCAAGTGCTTTTCCTGTACTGAATACTTGCATACATTGTAATGTAGTGATCTTAAATGATTTTAAATATGTTTTATATTGGCGCAGGCCTCTTTGTAAGCTGCCCTGAGCCCGCGCAGCGGGGAGGGCGGGGTATACATTGAATAAAATAAATAAATAAATAAATACATTGTTCTTTGGAGCCTGGGATACCACTGTCCTTCTACGTGTGCTTCTGAGTAAGAAGCAAATCGTGTTGGATAGGTGGGGATCGGAGTTATGTGGCAACGTTGGAAGATCCTTGATTATTCAATTAGGTGCCTGCCAGCTCCTTTCCATTTCTGTATTTCCTATCTGTACTTGTTCAGAGTGTGTCAGGAAGCTGCCAAGGGCAAGTTACTCCTCTGATTATTCTTTTAGTCACAAATACCAACGATCCTTAACTATAGAACAAAGTTAGAGTCCAATGGCACCTTTAAGACCATCAATGTTATTACATAGGTAATAAATATGTTAGTTACCTATGTTGTTCCCCCCCCCCCAGTTGAACCAAAACAGATGATACCCAGGAACTAACTTGTCATTCTTTTGATCTGTTAAAAATGTGTTCTCACTGTTTTGCATGCTAATGTAACAAACCACTCCTATATATACAACTATGATACGTAATTCCATTTCATCATCTGAGGAAGTGTGCCTGCACACGAAAGCTCATACCTTGAATAAAACTTTGTTGGTCTTAAAGGTGCCCCACTGGACTCTTCACTTTGTTCTGTTGCTTCAGACCAACATGGCTACTCACCCTGATCGATCCTTAACTATTTCCCACTTGCTTCTTGCAGCTGTTTTCAAAACACAGAGTAAGAAAACATAATATGGAAAGCCACCATGGATATAATTAAGGCATCTAGTTTGTTTGTTTTTAAACTGCTTTGGGGTGACTTCATCATTCATGCTAGCTAGAAGAAATATGTGAACCGAGGCAGGTCGATTCGTCTCTGTGGGCCATCAGCAAGGCGCCCCCCTGCGTCACAGAGAGAAGCTGTTGCATTGTGTTCGGTGGGAGATAATAGGTGACATGTATTGCCACCTTCCTGTATAGATTATCTCCCATTGTGATTTGATTAGATTTGTCCGGGGTTTGCACTGATGGCAGTAGGATGAGAATCTGGCTCATTGCTAAAACACACACAGCGCAACCCCCCCTTCCCCCTTCGCAATCTTGTTTCCATCTGGCTAGTTAACACTGAGTTAATGAAAGCAATCATCCTGAACATGGGGAAATGAAATCAATCCTAGTACGAGGCATGGGGGGAATGTATTGGCTGACCTAGTGGAAGTCGCCTCCACCCAGACAATGTTTGTTTAAATGACATGTGGCCTTGAAAGTGGTTTTTGATGCTTTAGGCTCCCTCCCACACATCCTTAAAGTATTTTGAGGCCCCGACTTGGCAAAATACAGAGGACAAAGCTATGCTTCATAGAAGCCAGTTTGGTGTAGTGGTTAAGTGCGCGGACTCTAATCTGGGAGAACCGGGTTTGATTCCCCACTCCTCCACTTGCACCTGGCTGGATGACCTTGGGCAAGCTGTAGTTCTGACAAGAGCTGTTCTTGAAAAAGAGCAGTTTCTGTCAAGAGCTCTCTCAGCCCCACCTACCTCACAGGGTATCTGTTGTGGGGAGGGGAAGGGAAAGGAGTTTGTAAGCCGTTCTGAGACACCTTCGGGTATTGAAGGGCGGGGTATAAATCCAATCTCTTCTCTTCTTCTTCTTCTTGCATGAAAGTGTAGATAACATCCACCCATATCTGAACATTAGAGCTAGGAAAATGGACATAATAGTTTAGACAGTAATGGGTTGGATCCAAAGCTGGTTTCCGTCAATAGAAGGGGGAGGCCTCTTTTTGCTGATTTCCCCCTTTCTTTTCAGACTTCCTGTGTGCTGCCTATGGATTAGGGATCAACATTTCAGGGAAGACAGGAAAGTTCCATTCTGCTGGTGGAAGTGTATTCTGTTAGTGGGAGCCTACCTTTGGATCCAACCCCCTCTCTTCCCAGTCCTCAAACCAACAGCTTTGGATGATTGGGGGATATGTTGTGGGCTCTCGCCTTCTTACTTTCCTCTCTCCCCCCCATTCCCCCGACTCTGATAGTTTTGTTCTCTTCTGTTTCCTGGCAAACTGTAATCTGCTGTCATATGAGAACCAGGCTGGCGGTGGTTTGACAAACCAGAATTTTCCCGGAAACCAAATGTGCAAACCGGAATGCCCCTGTTCGTGGCAGATTACGGTTTGTGGAAACCAAAGCTTGTCTAGTTCACAAGTAAGAACAAACCATGGTTTTCCAAGAGGAAGTGGATCTGAGCACATGGAAGGAGGTGGATCTGAGGGGAAAACATGGAAGCTCACAGTTTGAGGAAAGCACGTGAACAGAGCCTATCTGGTGCAAGACACCAGTCCTTTCCAGAAGGAAGGATCTTTTTCTGTCTGTCCATCTTCCTGGAATGTTTGCTGCTTCTGTTTGTGAACATGAAGTGGGTGCCCACTGAGATTAATTGAGGAATATTTGCAGCCTGGCCCACTTACTCCTGATTTTATTAATCTCTAGATAGGTTGGTTTCCAGTCTTTTGCTTGCTACAGAACCCTCCCTAGTTAGCACTTTAGCAGGTCTTCCGTTTCAAGTGACACGCTCTTCTGCCACTCGGAACCGATCTTATCCCAGCTGACAGGGTGGAGAGCTCCGTTCAGTTCAAAGTCTAAAGTCCTAACCAGCCAGCAGATCTGATGTTCTAATTTACGCCATCACTCGGAACATTTCAGGAAAACATTTCTTTGTCTTCAAAGACTATATCCTCCCACAGATTATCCTGGTCAGGGGCTCCATTCAAGGCCTGGTGCGAACAACTCCGGCTGTCCCTGAATGGGAAACTGATGAGTACGCTCAAGACTGTTGCCCCTCTGAATACGTTTACAGACTTGAAACATTCCATTTAATGTCACATTTGTTGTATCTTAACTGAGGCACCCAGGTATGGCTACAGGGGCCGGGACTGTCGCAGCAACCTGTACCTTCTTCCGACAGGTGAAACTGTCTACTTCATTGCATCAGTTGTTGTATTGTACAACGTTGAAGAGCAGCTACAAAGACATTACACCGGTCACAATGATGATGTGAAGTGGTAAGTCTGGCCGCATCAGGGCCTTTAACACAAAACAGGAACCCTGAAACAGACAGAAAAGCTACTCTACTTAAAGGAGGATTTTTTAAAAAAAACTTCTGAAAACAAAGTTCATGAGCCCAGGTGCACATTCACCAATGAGCTGCTCGCCAACTTATTCATTTTAAATATTCGTGTCCAGCTTTTCTCCCTGCAGGGAACCAAAGCAGCTGTCAACAGCAAAAGAGTATAATAGTCTGACAGAAAACCCCCAAACAGTGTCTTGGACTGGTCCCAGATTCTGTGGCTGGCTTCTCCAAAAGCACCAGATGCAAGCTACAGGCTAAGAGCTAAGAGGCCAAGGAACCTCTGCCTCTTCCCAGCTGCTTGCACCCAAGGGCTCTCACCTCTGGCCACATCCAAGCGTTATCAGTACCTGCAACAGGACGGAGATAAGCTGAGGTGATGATGTGCAGCTGGCTAAATGTTCCCAGGCTAGCCCAGCCTTGTCAGTTCTCGGAAGCTAAGCAGGGTTGGCCTTGGTTAGTACTTGGAGGAGAGACCACCAAGGAAGTCCAGGCTCCTGACACACACACACACACAGGCAACAGCAAACCACCTCTGATCGATTCTTGCCTTGAGAACCCTACAGGGTCGCCATAAATCAACTGCAACTTGACAGCATTTAACACCACCAGCAATTCCTCTCCTGTGCTCTGCTGAGCTGTATTGCGGTTCTCTTGCTTAAAATACCTTAAATACAGAAGCAGATACATTTACAATAATTTTTATATAGAGCTTCGCTCACATTCCCTCCCCCCCACTGGTTCTTAGAACAGGGCTGCTCTACCCAGATCAGGGGGCTGCTGGAAGAGTCCTTTGCTGAGGGCCACCCGACATACTCATGGCTGAAGTGACATTTCATTAGGGGGTGGGGGTGGCAGCATTTCTGGCTCCCAGCCCATTTTACAAAATATCGTGCCTAAAGAATTCTGCATTCTTTTCTTCCTTTTTTTCTGTTCTTTTTGCTTTCACTGTTGACGGGGCTTGTAAAATCTGAGTTTAACAAAGCTTTCTCTTGCAGCCTCGCTGTCCACCCAGACAGGATCACCATAGCAACTGGCCAGGTTGCAGGAACATCTAAGGATGGGAAAGTGAGTCAGCCTGGTGGTTTGGAATCAGAGTTTTTGGTTTGTAGGGACGTGCGTGTTTGACCAGAAGCCCGCAGCAGCCCTTGTGGCATGTGACCCTCCGCAGAAGGTTTTGGAGCTATGTCAGGGGGGAGGGATCCGCTTGGGGAAAATGGAAGAGGGGAAAGATCGTCCCGTGCATACTTCTTCCACCTATAGGATCCAACCTCCATTTGTCAATCCTTATTGTCTCCAAATGGGAACCCGTATGTCACAGATTCTTGCTTAGTTCAAAAGATCTTAAACCCTTCAGTTTAGGATGATTTTGTTTAAAAAATCTTCCTAGTCTGCAGGCCACGCCTGCTGCTGAGGCTTCTTCGTGAAATTCTTCGATATTTGCTAAACAAAATGCTTAGAATCAGGTTTGGGTACTCATTTAAAAAAAAAACCAATCTTTTTGGGTAACTAGAACGATGGCTGTTTTGCTTATAGACAGAACAAAGTTGAAGTCCAGTGGCACCTTTCAGACCAACGAAGTTTTATTCAAGATATAAGCGTTCATGTGTATGCATGCTTCTTCAGATATTGAAGTATAAAAAGGTAAAGGTAAAGGTTCCCTTGCTCAAAAGCCAGTCGAATCCGACTCTAGGGATGCGGTGCTCATCTCTGTTTCCAAGCCGAAGAGCCAACGCTGTCCGAAGATGTTTCCAGGGTCATGTGGCCGGCATGACTAGACACCGAGGCGCGTGGAACGCTGTTGCCTTCCCACAGAAGTGGTACCTATTTATCTACTTGCAACTTCTTGCTTTCGAACTGCTAGGTTGGCAGGAGCTGGGACCGGAGATGGGAGCTCATTCTGTCATGCAGCACTTGGATCTTGAACTGCTGAACTACCGACCTTCCAGTCTGCAATTCAGCGTCTTGACCACTTGAGCCACCACAGCCCCTACTGAAGTATGCTTGCACACAAAAGCTTCTCCCTTGAATAAAACTTCGTTGGTCTGAAAGGTGCCACTGGACTCAACCTTTATTCTGCTGCTTCGGACCAACATTGCTACCCACCGGAATCTTGCTTTTAGAGAAACCAGCTCTCTTCATTGCCTGCACATGTCAGTAGGCAAATCTGTAGACTGTGTCAGTCTCCTGCGTGTTTTGCTACGTTTCCAAAGATTGCTCTCTAGTGGTTCCAGAAATGCATTGCAATCTTGATAATAAAATACAATGTTTTTTCAAAGTCGGCTGTTGCCATAGAAGAGAACTAGGATACAACAAAAGGGAAACAAACCCAACCTGAAAATCAAGTGTGGTACTCAAGAGACTGAATAGCAAGAACATTAAAAAATATAAATATTTATTGCACAGTGCACCAGATTCGAGTCCACTAGCACCTTAGAGACCAATAAGTATTCCAGGGTATAAGCTGTCAAGAGTCAAACTTTGTTTGTCTTTAGCAGCTACTGGACTTGAATATTTTAGGTTGGTACTGTTATTTCCATGGTGTAAAAGGAAGGGGGGAGGAAACGTGAGATTTTCAGAGGTCATTTTGGGGGGATCGCAGTTCCCCCGTGTGAGGTACGGGGGGCGGGGCACATGACGAAGCCCCGCCCACTGCTTCCAGCCGCCCCGCTTCCGGCCCTCATTCAGCCAGGAGGAGGCAGGAGAAAGTGGAGCTGCAAGGCCGGCGGCGGTGGCCGGGACGCTTGGTGGCGGGGTGTGTGGCCTTATGACACACTTCCGGTGATGTCAGGGGGTGTGGCCTTATGACACACTCCCGGTGATGTCAGGGGGTGTGGCATATGCTAATGAGTTATGCTAATAAGTTCCCCTAGCTCTTTTTCTACGAAACGACCCCTGGAGATTTTTATCAGTAATGTATTGGTTCACAGCTTATTCTGTTAGCCATGTTACCATTCCTACTGTTCATTGTGTCTGGAGCCTTTTGCTCTATGACGGGCTATCCGTTTAAGCAAAGAGCTTGCTGTATTTCGAATCAAATTTCCACTGAACAAAATCAGACTTTATGTGACCTTTTGTGGGAATGAATTCCTTTTCTATTTAACATTAGGGAACATGGATTGGGCCTACTGTCCTACTTGCTTGTGAATGCATGAAGAGGTGTCCCTCTTTTTCACCGCTACATTAAATAGCGTTCAAAAGTGCATTTCCAGCGTGCTCAAAAGTACGCTTCCTATTCCCCAGTCTATGTGAAAGGTTGTTTTTTTCCCAGCCTGACCGCTGCTTTTTGCTTTATTTGTTCACTTCCTTCAGCAATTACTACCCCATGTCCGTGTTTGGGACTCCGTTACTTTGAATACTCTCCACGTCATTGGAATGGGGTTCTTCGACAGGGCAGTCACGTGCATTGCGTTTTCCAAATCGGTGAGTCATATTTCCTGTCTTGTTAAGTGGCTGAGTGTGCTTTTGAAGACAGATATATGCTTCTAAAAATTAAGATCAGTGGATTGGTATCCAGACGGAATTTTCCATCTGCAGAAGAGCACTGTCCTGCCTCCTCCCCTTCCCATTGCCCTCCGCCACATGGTTCTCCAGGGGGGACAGGGGACCCCAAGGAACGACATGGGGGGGGGTCCGGCAGCAGGAAACGGGAAACCTTGAGGGACCCTATTTGAACAGAAAGCCTGCCTAGAAATGTTTTAAATAGATGAAAAAAAAATGGGTTGAAATTGCTGCTGTTGTCTGGGTCCAGCCCAGCAGGCCCAACTCAGTGGGAAGGCTTCCTCTGCAAACAAGTGCATTTTCTGTGAAACTCTTACTCAGTGTACTTTCTGCAGGAAGCTTTATGGTGGATTGCATCAAATACTGCTTTACCTTATTCAAGCAAACTTCCGTGACCAAACTCGTTCTGTTTCAATGAAATACTGTAAGAACATAAGAGAAGCCAGTGTTGGATCAGGCCAATGGCCCATCCAGTCCAACACTCTGTGTCACACAGTGCCCAAAAATACCAGGTGCCATCAGGAGGTCCACCAGTGGGGCCAGGACACTAGAAGCCCTCCCACTGTTCCCCCCCCCCCCCAAGCACCAAGAATGCATAGCATCACCTGCCCCAGCCTGTGAGTTCCTATCTATACCTTGTGGCTAATAGCCACTGATGGACCTCTGCTCCATATGTTTATCCAGTTCCCTCTTTAAGCTGTCCATGCTTGTAGCCGCCGCCACCTCCTGTGGCAGTGAATTCCATCTGTCTTTAATTAAGAAGAGCTTAAACCGGATGGAAGTTTCCAAACAGAGGGATTTTACCTTTCCTTGGTAAAGCTCTGTCCATTTCATATATGAAACAATTCCCTCATTCCTCCCTCTGTCCCTCAGTTGTAGGTGGTTTTCGAACAGAGATGGGCTAGTGTGGTTTCCTTGTTACTGGTACAGCTGCCTGGACAGTGCAGCATCAATGGGGCTTTGACATGGCAGGTTTTCCTGCCCCAGCAGTGGCCCTGGCAGCGATCAACGGGCCCCCTCCACCAGCACCACCAGGGCTTTTCAGGGTTTTTTTAAAGAATCAGTTGAATATCATTGTAGAAATATGTGTAATAGGTTCTCTGAATTCTCAGCTTTCATTAAAAAAAAAAAAGATGAGTCTTTATGGCCTTCTGTTGCAGAGTTCTGCATTGGAAAAAGAAAGCTGGGAATTCTGCGAATCTGTCACACATATTGTTATAACATTATATTGATATACCAATACTTGATTGCCAGGTGTTTTTTTTTAATTCCTCCAGTGATGGGAGGAGGACATAGTTGCCATGGGGACAAGTGCCCAGGAAAAATAGGTGTCTTGGGAGACTGGGGCAGGGATCTTCCCAAAACGTCACAGCAAAGCAGGTTTGAGAAAGATCAGAGCAAAGTCGGGAATACCCTGGAAAGTGCGTGAATGCACTGTGGTGCTGCCGGGTGGGGTGGGGGGATACCTGCTTCCCAACAGCATCAAACCCATAACAAATAACCTCTATGGGAATGGCCTTTGTCTCTTAACCTTAATGGTGTCGGTCGAACCATCAGTGCATGGACATTTTCCCATGTTCCTGTCCATTCCTGCAGGCCCTCTCAATTGCCTTCCTGAGATTGCAAGGTCCATTCGGAGGAATAGTGGTGTAGTTTGGTGGACTGGAGTGAGTGTACCTTAAAATGTGACCCATGTTGTATTTTAACTATGCCAATAAAGGTTGACTGACTGACTGGAGTGAGGAGAAACAAGAGGATGACTTCTACCTCTACCCTCAGTGGAACTGCATTTGACAGAGAGGAAGGAAGAATGTTTTCACATTCCTCTGTCCTTCCCCACTCTAGAACCCCCGACCCTTGCAGCTCTTCCTCTGGGTGGGTCTGCAGTCCTGGAAATAATCTTCCTGGGGTCCAGTAGGGGTCTGCAGGAACAGAGGGGGATGTGGGAAAACTCAGCGTTTCATGCACACTGGTGAGGATCCTGCCTATGGCTCCCTGTACCCACTTCCACTGAAAGATGCCATGGTGTTCTGATAGGTTCAGAACTCCCAGCTGGGAATTGGTAATGCCGGTCATTTCAATAAATTACTTACCTGTGTAAGTGGTTGTGTGTTATGGAATCATCAATGATTTATTTCAGAATGGAGGAAGTAACCTTTGTTCGGTGGATGATTCCAATGACCATGTGCTTTCAGTGTGGGACTGGCAGAGAGAAGAAAAGCTTGCAGAAGTCAAGGTACTGTTTGAGAAGATGTTTAGTGTACTGCTTAATATCTGAGGGCCTTTTGTGAATAATTGTGAATTATTGCCATCCGTTCTCTCACAGCTGTCCTCTCGCATATTCTCTCACTTGCATCCAGCCCGAATTTTATTGCTTTTATTTTATTTTATTCATGATTATAGTAGAGCAATTACAAAATATCAGTTATTTACAAGCGTCCCACATCTCCCCACCTGAGCCTGCATTGCTGGGAGGTTGGGGTATAAATTGAAGGAAATAAATAAATAAAATAAATAAACTTGTGATTCATGAATGCTTCCAGAGAATCCCAGCAGCTGCTAGAAAAACAAGAACTGATTAATTAAGCGGGAAGGAGAAGGGTAGGAGGAAAATTTCAGGGGGCAGTACCCCTAAAAAACTTGAATAGCACTTTGGCTGGCCATATTGGATTGCTTGGCACTGTAGTTGCACTTACAATTTTTAGAAAGTCACCACAAATGAGATGTGAAGAAAGCTGGAAAAGCGAAAACACTGGAATGAAAAGAGAGTCTCTAATGACATTGTTAACATAGAGGGAATAGGGAATGGCAATTTCAGACTAGATGGCTAATGCGGAAAGAAAACTAGCTTATCTGCCTCTGGGCTGAACAAGGAAGTTTTACACTGATGAACAGCACACTCTTGTATCAGTTATTTGTTGGGGAAAATACAGACTGGCATGAGCTCAGTGAATGGCTCTGAACTACCTGTTCTTGCCTGATTGGAACAAGAGTATAGTGTATGACTGGACTGGATGCGGAGCAAATGGTGCTCATTAGAGCCTCTCTCGTCTTTAAGTGTTCCTGAGCTTTTCTGGGGCTCTACAGAGCCCCCAGTACCTCGATGTTGAAAAAAGGCATATGTTTAACCATGCAGTTTAAAGCAGTGTTTACAACCCTCTAAGCCCATTGACTTCAGTGGCCTCAGAAGGGTGTAATATTGCTTAGGACTCTAGCAGGTGGCCACACACATGTAGAACATGAGCCCAGGATCAGCCACGTACTAGTCATCAAAATTTTTTTAAAAAACCTTTGCTTGGTTAAATTTTGTAATAATCAGTGTACTTTTCTTGGTGAGTAAATTTATTGAATAAATTTAAAACATACAGACCAAATAAGGCACAAAACTTCCTCCTCAGCCCTTATATGCTTCGAGCAATATAGCCTGGATCGATTTGTTTTCTTCTAATTAAAAAAATCCATTAATCTGTTCTTAAAGCACCTGAAGCTATTCTTGGCACTCTTTTAAGTTGTCCATTAGTGTTTTCCCATGTTGTTACCAAAATCCTAAACCAATTTTTATCATCTTCTAGTGCTCTAATGAAGCCGTATTTGCCGCGGATTTTCATCCTACGGACACGAATATAATTGTTACATGTGGGAAATCGCATCTTTATTTTTGGACGCTAGAAGGGAATTGTCTTGTTAAAAAGCAAGGACTGTTTGAGGTAAAAACGCTACGTTCTCAGTGGCTTTTTTTCTAGGATTAGTTCTCACGTGCTAGAATCCTGCAGCCAGATAATAGGCTGGATAGTTTAAGTCGGTATGTGAAATTCAGCCTCCTCCCTGATTTTCAGTCTCCTCCCTCTGATTTTAGGGCCCCCTGATCTGGATAGCCAAGGTTAGTCTGATCTTGTCAGATCTTGGAAGCTAAGCAGGGTTGGACCTGGTTAGTATTTGGATGGGAGACCACCAAGGAATACGGGAGTCATGACGCAGAGGAAGGTAATGGCAAACCACCTCTGAACGTCTCTTGCCTTGAAAACCCTACGGGGTTGCCATAAGTCAGCTGCAACTTGACAGCAAAAAGCAAAAGGATTTCCAGGTCACAAGACTCCAATGAAGCCACAGGTGCCAGTACTGGTCTGCCACAGTCTAGACTCTAGATGCTAGCAACCACTCTCATGGACCTACCCTGCATAGCATGCGACCCTCCTGAACTTTATGTATGCAAGTGTCCTCAAGTTATCGGAAGGTATCTCAAGGTATCTAAAGTGAGCAGTCACTCGGGAAAGCTCATGCTGTAGCACAAATTTTGCTAGTCTTTAAGGTGATACTGGACTCTGTTCTACTACTACAGACAGATTAACACAGCTACCCCATTTTGATCTGTCCTCAAGTTGTAACTGATTTATGGTGACTGTAGCAAGGGGCCTTCAAGAAAGTGAGAAGCAGTGGTGGTTTGCCATTGTTCTCCTCTGCCTGGTCTTTCATCCAAGCACCAACTCCGCTGAGTGCATGCTTTGCATTCAGCAAATCCAAGGTTCCAAGCCTGGTAAAGGATTTGGGTTAGCAAATATTAAGAAAGATTTTTTTTTCACTGAGATTTTGGAAGGCTGCTGCTAGTCAGAGTAGACAAATCTGAACAGGGATAGGCAAATGGCCCCACCTGATGTAAGGCATCATATTTTCATATATAATTCATTTGTACAATGCATTTCGTTTAAAATAATTTACTTCAGATTTTTCTTATTCAGTTACTAAAGTTAAAACTTTTGTGCAACTTAAAAACTCTTAAATTAAGCTGATAAAAACCTGTAAAGCCTGTACATTCCTGATTGTTGATTATTTCTTCTGATTTTTAAACTAAGGTGGGGGGAGAAAATGTGCAAACTTAGTATTGTTAATACACTTCGTAGTTCTAAACGATAAAAAAATATGGAAGAAAGATAAATTTACTGTATGGTTTCATAAATGTGTTAAATATCTTATCGTGCAGAAACAAGAGAAGCCAAAGTTTGTCCTCTGTGTAACCTTCTCTGAAAATGGTGATACAATCACAGGAGACTCGAGTGGAAATATCTTAGTTTGGGGAAAAGGTAAGAAGAGGATGAACTTCCAAAACAATACGCTACCCTGAATTGCATTGCAATATGATAACACTTCCTGTTGTCGGAAATGAGAAAATCATAGCTGTCAATAATTACAATAAGTCTGTTGTCTCCGTGGAATCACTGAGAACAAAAATTCTTAATCCCAGATTTAAGCAAGTGCTTATAGAAGTTTCCTAGAAAAGATAGCTGCAAGAGAGCAGAGCTGAAATGAGTGTGGGTTAAGCCCTTTTCATGAACATTTCCATCCTTTGCAACAAGCTGGTGATTGTGAATAGGGCTGCAGACGACAAAGGTGAAAGGCCTATTCCGAGTGATTGCAGGAAACACTGTACTCGCTCTAAAGTGGCTTTGTGATGCCATCATATAGTTACATTGGATTGGCTGTGTAATATCATGTCATTGTCATCCTAAATTTATGATTCCTGATTCGCTGGAAGTAGTTAATGTTTAGGGGAAAGGATGGTGCCAGCGCTTCTGAAGCTGCTACTGTGATGAGCAGCAATCAGGTACAAAACAGTGCAAGAAAGGTAAGCGTAGAGGAAGAAAGGAATGAGAATATTTCAGAGCTTCCAAAACTCCTTCATTTTTGCACCAGTAGTGTTCACTTGCAAACACTCAGTGTAGCGTAGACTGAAAGAGCCGTGTGTTCCACTCTGTATTGCCCAATGTTAAATTGCTGTCTGCAGGCTTGAACAGTCAAGCTTCTGAGTATATTCTATCAATGCACCTGACAATTAGGAGAAAGAATAAGAAAGAAAAGAATGCAGTACCTGTCTCAGTTATTTATTCTTAGCATTCCACAATTAAGAAGGATACATTTACACACTAGTCTCCTATTTTGACATATTTATTTGCTCCACTGTGTCCCCACCACCACCACAATTAAATCCAAACAAATAGGGACCATATTAACTTAGCTTGTTATTCCTGTTTGGTCTTTGCATCTGTTAAAACATCTTAATTATATTGTATGCTAATTTGCTGTTCAGCATCTGCCTATATGTATGGACTGTTAACTTCCATTTCAACGTATCTGAGGAAGTGTGCGTGCACACAAATGCTCATACCTTGAATAAAACCACTGGGCTCAAAATTTGAGTCCAGGTGCCACTGGACTCAAAATTTGTTGCACCTAAGACCAGTTTAATTATGGTAACATAGCCACAGATCAGAAATGTTGTTTCTCTGAACCAAGGCTTTTTGAAGCACAGAGAGAACTAAATGGATGATTAAATAAAGTACTGCTGCTTTATTATTAGCTTCTTTTCTCCCTATGTCTAGGTACCAACAGAATAAGCTCTGCAGTCCAAGGCGCCCATGAGGGTGGCATTTTTGCACTATGTATGCTGCGGGATGGAACGCTTGTGTCTGGAGGCGGAAAAGACAGAAAGCTCGTATCGTGGAACGGGAATTACCAAAAACTTCACAAAACTGAGGTGCTGCTCATGGCCTTTGAAGACAGTTCTCTTAATTTTTTTATTAGAGTGATTTTTTTTTTTTTGCAGCCTGAGTTCCATTTCTTGTCACATTACAAAAGACAATGAATAGCACTGTGTCTTAATAGGAATAAAATATAAAATCAGAAGGTTCCTGTAATGCATCCGTTTTGAGGGATGTCAGTCATCTGGAAAATCAAATCTGTGTTCAGGAATAGTTTTGCTTTAAAAATGCAATCAGTGTTTAAATAAATTATTTGCAAATTGGTCAGCACAAGTGCTAAAGATTGCTCTGAAGTGCAGGGCAAAGAGGAGAAGAGCTGCTTACATCCGTGGTCAGAAGGACTGGCACGCTTACAGTTTGAGGCTCTACCTTCTGACAGCCTCCAGGCATTGTCTGTATATAGCCCTTCTGCTCCGAGGATCACCTGTCTATAGGTGTTCAGCTCAGCCAACTTCTTTAAAACATGACAGTAATAGGCAGGGCCGACTCACTCACTAGGCGAACTAGACTTTCACCTGCGGTGGGGACATCATGGGGGCGTGAACTGAGCCGCCCTCCCCCCCGCCAAATGCTCGCACCGCGTGCCCTGGCCATCGCTGCCTCTTCGCTCCCCTAATTCCTGACGTGACCGCCCTCCCTCCCTCCACCCGGGTCGCGAGGGGCGCAGCGAGGCTCCTGCTGCCGCCCGCCCACGCCCAGCATGGTTTTCTGGGCACCCCCGGCAAGGGGAGTGAACTGTGCGTGGTGGCAGCAGCGGCACTTGTGGACCAAGGGCTGGCCTCGGGTGAGGTGGGGGGAGACGGAGTGGGAGGGGGAGGCGTGGGGTGGCTGGGCGGTCGAGAGGAGAAGCCAGTGGGCCTCGGGAGCAGCTCCACGGGGGAGATCTCCACTCCGGCCGGGGAAGGCAGGCAAGGAAGCGCCCCGCCTGCCTGCCCGCCTGCCTGTTCCCCTTGGAGAGGAGCTCGCCAAGTTCTCCAGCAGGGAAACTCTCAGTCTGGGCGACGCTCCCAACCTCCCCCCCCCCGAGGGCGAAGGGGCAGAGACTGTGGAAGAGAACACCACAGGAGTTCAGGAGGTGAGGGTTTACCTCGCCTCTCTCGACTGAAAAGTCGCACGGGGCGGGCTCAGCCGAGAGAACACCCCCAACCATGCAAAGTCAGGGCATCCACAGCAGATTTTCTTGAGCTGATTGTCTTTGGATGGGCGAAAGGAGAGACAAAACGCCCGCAAGCTGACTCCTTCCTCTGCAGTCCCAGGGCCTGAAGCAAGTTCTTCCGAACCCCCCTGACCTTGGCTTGATCTGCCCATGGCAAAAGCCCGAGTAGAGGAACGCTTTGTTGTCAGGCACTCCACTGGCTAAATGCGGCTTCAGCTGCAAGAAGGGAATTCTTCTCCGAGGGGGCGGTGGTTTGGCCGCACGGCATGCCTGCTGGAAGGGCACCGGGCTGGGCAGAGCTATGCAAAGAGGCCTCCCCTTTCCCCTCCTCTAGCTCATCTCCGGGTTCCCGTCCCCCCCCCCCCTTCACGCACCCCCGCGATTCCGGGGGCACGGCCCT